AAAATTTTTTTTCAGAAAATCTTGGACTGTAAAAATAGCTCAAGTTCAAGTCCTACACATCTGCCACAGCAAGAACCTAACCCTCTTCCCAGCAGAGCAGAAATCTAAATTTAAATAAATAGATAAATCAATATTGACATAGTTAAAACATGAGGGTTTTCTAATATCACTTTCTCCTCCCCCTTCAGATCTGGGAAGTGACCTAGTTCGTTATGATGGCAGAGTGCACACTCCTCACCTGGACAGGCTGGTGAGTGCCAGGAGTGTAAGTCCAACAACGGAAATGGTTTCAAGCGAATCTGTAGACTACAGATCAACTTTTCTAGAAGGTATGGCTCTAATTAAGAATCAGGATGGAGGATATTTTACACATCTTGATTTTCCTATGTCTTCAGATGATAGCTATGTTGATCAGTATCCTAATTTCAGTTTCTCGTCTGATTTGTCTGTGTCTGCATTTTTGGAACTCTCATGTATTCACAGGCTTGCTATTTTAACTGAGCTTCTCAGGTGCTTCCCAAGATCAAGGTCCATAGCATTTTTACTTTTACTCAGGTTGAAAGAATAAATAAAATACAATTAGTAAAAGCTCTCTAAAGTATGCTCCACAAGTTATTAGGAGCTGGTGTATCTAGTGATTCTGTGTTGTCATAAGATCCATCACACCCTGCACAAATCCCCTCAGAAAAGCCTGATTTTAATGATAACATCAAGTGGTTGTAAGTTTAGTGTGTCTCAGTGACTTCCTACAGTTATAATAAAGCAGTTCTGTTGGGCAGAAAAGCCCATGCTACTGGTTAGAAGGGAAAGTGGTACGTGAGACAAAACTATGCAAAGATCCTTGGTGGAAGGTAAATCCCAGTGGTCCTGCAGCCACAGTGTGCTGGCAAAGCACAGTGGAGAGTGCTTCCAAGAAGGGTGTGTGTTCATCTCATGTTCCTGTAGCAATGTTGATGTCAATATTATCAAAGAATGAAATAAAAGAAATATTAGAAAACATGCCGGTTTACATTTCGCAGCTGTAAATATTATTTGTGGCCGTGGCTAGATTATTTTACTGGGTTTATTAAATAGATATTTGCCTCTAGTTACAAATAAATTAATTTGTAAGTTGTAAGAGCTGGTATTTTTGCTCCTAGATAAAATAACACAGTGTTTCTCAGCCCCCAGGGTGATAAAAGCACTTTATAAAAATGTCACAAATTTTATGCAGAAATAAATAAAGTATATCTATTTTTTACTTTTTGTAATAAGATACCTGATAATTTCTGTTGATTACATTTACTCTCCTTTTTTTGTTTTGGACCCTGGATTAAATTCATCTCATCAACTCCACTGAAATCATTCCAGACTGAAACTGGTATAAACTAAACATAGTTCTTTCATTCAGCCACACAAAATGCTAGGAAAAAGATTTTAAACAAAGCCAATTTGAAATACCTGAACAACATGCTGTTGATAAAAAAAAAAAATCTCAAATAGATACCCCTGGATTTACTGAAATATTTTAGTTTCTGCTATATCAGATGGCTCATGTTATTTTCATGAGTAGCACCAACTGCAATATCTTCAGCAGTTACAGGAAATGAATCACCTCTAGGCATTTCCCTGGTTGAATATTTACCATTGGATAAATACAGCTAGTCACCAGCACTTTGGAAACCTTCGTGAAGTGTAAAGTTCCCTACCAAATTGGAACATGACAATAATAAAAAGCTTCATGTTTTCAATTGTTCACTACCTCCTCCTCCCATATTGCTGTCATTTTTCTGTTTTAATCATGTTACTCCCAATTGCTAGAAATGCTATAACCTCTGTTTGGCAAGAACTGACAAGGCTTCATTCCATCCCCTCAAAAAAGTGGAAGTTTTGCCATTTACTTTCATAAAAGTAGAGCTGAGACAAGCACAAGTTTCTAGTGACATGGTTTTCCTGGAGGCTGGCAGATTACCAATGCATACTTTCATTTTCCCTTTGTGACCAAAATTTCCGTAAAACCAAGCCACTTCCAAACTGATAAAATCAAACCTTTCTTACCAATGCAATAAAACTCTTCATTTTTCAAGGAGAAGTTTGAAAGGATTATAACAGTTTCTGTTCATTTTCCAGATCAGTTTCCAAGCATGTCTCAGAATGGATCGTGCAGACCTGCCCAGTATCCTCACTCTGACCTCTCCCCGATTCTGTCTAGCGGAGACTCCGATTTAGCCAGTCCACTTCTCCAAAGTAATGTCCACATAGACATCAGTGCCTTAAATCCTGACCTGGTCAAAGAAGTACAGCACGTGGTTATTGGTGCCGACAGTCTGATTGTGCACTTCAGTGAAGTAATTGGAAGAGGTGGGTACTGCAACTCTTACACTGCAAACTGCTCCTCTTTTTGCACACCCGTTTGTTATAAACCATTCTGAATAAGGTGTCTATACAGAGACCTTTTCCAAGCTTTTTAGCTCTTATGGCATTGCATGCCATGTACTGAATCAAGGGGGGAATGAAGGGGGTCTCCTTTGAAGTCAGTGCATCTGATCAGTTGGAGAAGACACCATCAGGAGGAAGGAGTCTGCCAACTAATGAGGCTCTTTTGAGCTCATGGACTTGCTGGTCCCCCTCCAACTGCCTCACTTTCACCCTTTTCCAGGCTACAGAAAGCTCAGCCAGGGCTTCTGATCCATGAGGCTGTGGTATGGGAGATAATCTGCTGCAGGATATATATATATATATATGTGAAACCTAAGGCACACACCTAAATGGCAGGGGATGCCAAGGCAGGATCACAAGTGACCTCAAACTTGGAGCCTATTATCTGTGTAGGATTGCTACATGACATGGGAGATTCCTGCAGTCACAAGTGCATACAGTAAAAGTCCCCATGGCCCAGGTGAAATGCCCACACCCCTTTACCCTCCTCAAGTTTCCACCAGCTCTGAGGAATTTGCTGCTTGTTTCCTACCAGCAAATGCTCTTCATATCACCTCATTCCTCTCATGCCAGCTGCAGAAATATGTAGTCCCTGATTCACTTCCCCTTAGTTTTGTCCCTGATTTAGCAAGTCTCCTATTTTTCTAAATTTCTCTCATCACTCCTGTTCCTCTACATTTTCATAAGCAAGGTCCCTTTACCTTTCATAGCCCAAGCCAGTATTTCTGTTAGGGATGTTTTTAAACTCTGTATGACTGAGTGCCTGTTAGTAACCAAAGTACAAACTGTATTTCAGTATTTCTACAGATCATGCATGAGAGATCTCTTGTTGAATATCAGAATACTGATAAAAAATTTGCTATAAATTATATTCTTAATGCCTCTTCTGCAGGGCAAGAGCCACAAATCAAACAAACAGTCAGTGTGCTTCATTTCTATGTATTACACTTCATCATCCCCAAAGCAAGGGTGGGCCTTTTTCTTTTCTCTTTTGTTTTGGAAAACTCCAAGTAATTTCCCATTTTTTAAATGTTGAAAAATATCTGGAATGACACCAAGATAATTAACCGTTTTAAATTTTCTCCCTTCTAACCAGAAATGGGCCAAACCCCAAAATATTTTAGACACACCCAATCCAAGCTTTAGGATTTTTGCCCAGGCTCCAAGCAATCTGTGGTCTGATGGGATTTTAGTTGCTTTTATAAAACAAACTTTGGATTAATTTTACTTTAAGCCAAAAGCAAAGCAAACTGAGCTCTGACCCGAGCTTATGACTGGAACGTAGTAAAATTGATCAGATGTCTTGTTCTCTGTAGAGCTCACACTTAAGGAAAAAAAAATTATGCTTTCTAACTGAAAATATTAGTATTTTATAAGTTTCCAGTACATAGTTCATCTGTGAATTAAGCCACAACTGCACGTACATAATTTGATTTAGAGAAATTAATGTCTGAACCTGGAGCTCAAACTTCAGTTTCCCAAACTGGTAAACCTGATTTCTCATAGTAACTTTTGGTAGACAACATCATTTGCTTGGCAGGAAAGCACAGGATTTCTGTGTCCCTGGCAGTTCATTTCACTGCCTAGACCATGAGAAAGAAGGCAAATTTTGTTCACCATCTTTTAATGATATTTTATACTTGGAACTAGGCCATAGGAAAAAACTGCCAAGTGGTGTCATCAGTCTGTGATCAGTAGAGCAACTCCCAAACTCTCCACATCCAGCACATCACTTTTAACACTCAACATTTTCCATGGAATAGCAAGACCTGAGTGACTGCAATCCCAGAGTGGCTGTCCTTTCCATCAGATGCATCAAGTGGGTACAGTCCAGTGGACCACTTAGCATGGGCTTGCAGATCACTGGGAACCACCAATCCAGGGGTCATGTCAGCTCCTAACTGCTCCCTGTGCCTTCCAGGTGTCCTCCTTTGACACCCACGTCACAGGAGAGGATGGGAATGGGCTGACGTGGGTTTTGTGTGCTCAGTCATTACAAGAACACAAAATACTTGTGGCGCCAGCCTTGGCATTATTTATACTCTCCATTTAGGTCAAGAAATACCAATTATGCTGCAAGGAGAGTTTTCATTTTATGTAATGGTGGTTTTATGTAGTAGTGGTTTTATGTAATGGTGATTTTATGAATGGTGGTTTTATGTAATGGTCTGATTCCATTTATTTTAATATGTTAGTTAGAAAGTGTATATTACAAGTGTTGGGAATCGGATAGAAATGGAGTGTGATCACTTTCTTACAGTATAATTGCTACCCAGTGGAAAATACCAGAAAGCTAATTTTACTTCTTAAAGCTAATATTGCTCATTTTTTTTATACAGGACATTTTGGCTGTGTGTATCATGGGACATTGCTGGATAACGATAGCAGGAAAATTCATTGTGCTGTGAAGTCACTGAATAGTGAGTTACATGTTTAATAGTGAGATGTTACTGTTCATTCCAAAGATAACTGGGGTTAACCAAGAAATTCTAGTGAAGTATACATTCACAAACAAAGATTCTTAGTGCAGCTGAATCAGATTTATCTTTGGAGCAATTCCAATTACTCCAAATTACCACACCATATTGGCATATATTTTTACATCAAATGAAATGTCCATATTATTCCTCTACAAAGAAAAAAAACTCTGGAAAAATAAGGGAAAGGTAGCATTATTTTTTATTCTACTGAGTACTGAAGATTTCAGTTTGTAAGTTAAGTTGCTGAAAAGTGGGCAAAGCTGTTGGAAAAACACAAAGATAGTATAACATTTATTAAGGGCTTTATTCAAGTGTTGTTATTCAATTTTAAATCATTCAAAATAAGAAATGGAGAGACAGAATTAAACTTACCAACAGCCTGTATTTGGTCATTGTAGGAAAACCAATGCACATAACCTCATTGTAATGTGGGAGGTGGAGAGCATGTTTGTAGTCTCTCATCACTTTGTTGTACAATGACATGCTGTAGAGAAATGAACCCTAGTTTGTTTCTGTTTCTTTTAATTAACTCATTTTGTTTCTGGATTTCTCAGGGATTACAGACCTGGAAGAAGTAGCTCAGTTTCTGAAAGAAGGAATAATCATGAAAGATTTCACTCATCCCAATGTTTTGTCGCTCCTGGGAATCTGTTTGCCCAATGAAGGATCCCCATTAGTTGTTCTTCCGTACATGAAACATGGAGATCTTCGAAACTTCATTAGGAATGAGACTCACGTAAGTACCTGGTGAGGTATAAATGGCAATGCAAGTCTGGCCACGCCCTGCTCCAACACTTACAAGCTCTCATAATTACATTACGTCTGCAACTTGCTGCTGTTACTACACCTTAACCTTTAGCACTTGCTTAGTCTGGCATGGAGCCCAGCCACAGCAGTGCCACTCCTTCCCCTCCCCCTCAAATTCCTCTCTAGAATGTTTCCCAGAAATTATCAGCAATAAGTATTTCTCATTTCCCATCCATAAGCCTCTTTATAAACAAATGTGTTATGAGATCTACGTCCAGAGGCCCAGTCATCTGCTGGTTAAACTGGCACATCTCTGTTGACTTTAGCAGAGCTGTGCCAGTCATCAGCCTCTGCTCCTCCAGCTCCTAGGTGAGGGAACTCCATGTCCAGCTAGTGTCACAGTACCTTTATTATCAATATTTTTTCTTCTTATCTTAAGAAAGAAAAACAGGAGCTGTTATACAACTATGCATACACTCTTATCAGCAATCTTCCCCATTTCCATTGAAAAACTGTAGATTCCTCAAATGAGTCTCACTGCTTTCTCTCAAGTAGGAGACCAGAGATCTTACCTCAGGCACTGTAAGCCCACTTTACACTGCAGTATTTCACCTATTTCACAGTGTTAGAACAACATAAAGTGACTTCTGAGCCAACAGGATGTTGTCCTTGCTTTTACAGCAATCAGCAATAGCCAGTACAATTTAAAAAAAAAATATTTTCAACACATTTTTGGAGGAGTTAAGCTTTTTGAGGCTGGGACCTGCTCCCATTTGAGCTTTTCTCATTCTACAAGTACCAGGTCCCTTTTCTGTAAATAGTGCCATAGTCCTTCCTGAAATAAATAGAATAATGACCACAGTTGAATCAGATTGTTCCACAGAAGAAAATTATAAGGAGCAGTGTCAAAACCACAAAGATCTGTAGGATTCTTACTGTTACAAGTCAGAAAATATTTACAGGTTTATGTCTAATTTAAAAAAAAAATATTTTCAACACATTTTTGGAGGAGTTAAGCTTTTTGAGGCTGGGACCTGCTCCCATTTGAGCTTTTCTCATTCTACAAGTACCAGGTCCCTTTTCTGTAAATAGTGCCATAGTCCTTCCTGAAATAAATAGAATAATGACCACAGTTGAATCAGATTGTTCCACAGAAGAAAATTATAAGGAGCAGTGTCAAAAACACAAAAATCTGTACGTTCTTACTGTTACAAGTCATATTATTACCATAAAATATTTATAGGTTTATGTCTGTATTTATTTTGATATTTAACATTTTGAGTATCATGTCACCATGTAGGCAAAAAGAAAGAGTTAATAATCATTGTCAAAAATCTTCTTCTGGTAAATGCTAAGGTCACATTTGCCTTTTTCATGACATCATACTGATGCACCTATTTTGTCCCAAATAGGACTTTCTCTTCTTTTGGTCATCTCCAGCTGATGAGCTCCAAATTCAGTTGGTACCTTCTACTGAGTTACATGCTATCACCCTTAAGACCACATATGTGAATTTTGTGTATTGTCTGTGAGCTGAGGTTTCAGCATACTGTTCCACTTCTCAGGTCAGGTTATGCTGCTTATGCTGCAAACTCTGCTCTTCTGGAGAGTGTCAGCTCTTTTGTTTTCTTATAGTGTGCTTTCTCACTGGGGGTAAGAAGCTGACCTAAACTTAAAACAGTTTCACTACAAGCACCAACCTTTCTTGATCATTCTGGTGGCAGGAGAGGTGTATAAAACCTAAAGAGTCACAGCATAAAGCAGTCCAATCCTTAAGCTTCTGCATTCATTTTATCATAAATGTTTGTATTTTACAGAATCCAACAGTAAAAGATTTAATTGGATTTGGCCTTCAGGTTGCAAAAGGAATGAAATACCTTGCAAGTAAAAAGTTTGTCCATAGAGATTTGGCAGCAAGAAACTGTATGTAAGTACAAACATCTACTTTCAGCCACATTACCACACTCTTCTGTGTAAAACAGTGAAATGAGATGAGATAAACTGAAATTTCCAGGATTCTGCTATTTTTTAGTAAAAAGATGGTGGTTTTTTCATTGCTCTGCAATTATACTGATGTTTGTCTTGCATACTGATGAGCTACTCATCTTGCTAAGGGCTCATTTCTAACACATAAGCTTTTTTTGAGTGTGAGAAATAAGAAGGCTGAGGTGAAAGTGTAGCCTCTCAAAATCATTGGTTAGAGTTTAAAAGGCATCTCCTAAGGGAAGTTAAAGTGCTGTTGCCTCAACTTGCTGTGCTTCCACCCAGCCTCTTCAGAAGCAGCCTGTCTCTGCTGCCACACCTAACCAGGAGGGAGAGGAACACAGGGGAACTTTGTGAGAAAAACAGGAACACAAAGAAACACCAGTGAGACCTCTTGACAATAGTCTTTCATTACATGAGTATGAGCTTACTTTGGCTCAACCAGGCACACAAATTAACATTCAAAGAATCTTACTAGTGTCTGGGAAGCCAGACAGCTCAGTTCCCACAAAGACAAACTGATACAGGATTTGCCAATATGATTATGCTGATTTATCACTGATGTTGTGAATTAATGAGGCACAGCCTTAAAGTTTATTTTTAGCATATCATAAACTGGAACTGTGGCTGCAAAAGGGTCATTAACCTGTGACATTAGATGTCTTACTATTTTTTCAAGGGTGCACACCTGTGCAGTTGAACAGCCTCTGAAAAAGAACATTTTATTGCAGGTATTGGGTTTTTTAACGGATGAAAAAACAAGCACATTTTCATATTTCCTAAGAACAAATGCATTGGGTTACTGAACAAAAGACCTAGTTCATCTAATCAAAGTCCAAATGGTGGCAACAGGACATTCCTCTTGGCCTACTGTCTCTTCCTTGGATGAGGAAGGAACAGCTCTTAGGGTGTCTCACATGACCACTGAATGACTGCTTTTGCACTTCTGTAGGGATCAGCACTTCAGAGCCTGGAGAGCTGCTGCCACAAGACCCATTTCCCCCAGTGGCCATGTGCAATCCAACACTCAGTACAGGCCCTGCTGCACTGGTGATGTCTATCAGAAAGGAAGCCAGCATGCAAATGTAGTCCTCAGGGACTCTTTACTCTATTCCACTACCCTGGAAGAGGTGCAGGAACCTGCTATGGCATAAACTGTTTCTTGTTGATCCATCAAAGTTCCTTCCTACTCCCTTCATCTGATTAAGTTACAACATCAGTAAATACAGCAGATGGTTCTGTCCCATTGCACTGACTTCAACAGACCAGAATTGTTCAGACAGAAACCTCATAAATTCAAGACAGGGAAATGTCATGTGCAGACACTGAGAGAGACAGGATCATTTAGCCTAGCGAAGGTTCAAGGGGATGTTATCTGTATGTATAACTGATATGATGGATTAAAGAAGAGAAAGCCAAATTCTTCTAAGTGATGCCCAAGGACAGGCCAAGAGGCAGTGGGCACAAACTGAAATAGAAAAAAATTGTATTTAAACATAATAGCTCTTTTATTGTACAGATGACTGAACACTGACCCAGGTTGCCAGAAAAGTGGTGGAATCCTTATCCTTGCAAATATTCAAAACCCACCTGGTCGTGGTTCTGAGCAACCTGTAGCAGCAGACCCTGCTTTGAGCAGAGGAGACAGTGGGGAACCAAATGATCTTCAGGGGCCCCTTCCAACCACACCCATGCTGTGACTGTGTGAGGCTGTAAAGAACCCAAAAGGAAGTCCTTGCTGTGACTAGGTCTGCACATGTAAAGAAGGATAGGCTTGAAAATGCCCACACCCACACTCTGTTTATAATAATGATACCACTTATCAGGACAAATACCAAGTTTAGGAGAAGCAAAGCTAAGGAGATCTTCTGGTATGGTTGAGCTGTAACCCCAAGAGAACTTTTGTTATGCCATAATTTTCCCCCAGGACACACATCAAACTCATCCTTAGCTACATTATTACATAAAGGCAGTCACTGAAATAATGATGGATCCCTCCTTATCAAAACTGAGAGTCAGTAGGAAAGGTGATGCATTAACTTGGAAATAAAAACAAGCAGATTTTAAGGATACAGAAAAAAAACCCAGCTGTGGAAGAAATTATGTAGAACTCAATCAGGATGTATAGGCTATTAGCAAAAATCTTTTTATACATAGCAATTGTTTTAAAATAACTATAATTCAAATTGTATTATCAAAACAATATCAGTAATTTCCTGAGTTCATTCACTGTGTTAAATGGGTGTCAAATATACTTTGCTGCACTTTTGTTTCAGTGTTACGTTAGTTCATAGATGCCAAATAAAGTACTGCCATCCAAAGTCACAGTCCCAAAAATGCAAGTCAGTCATTATAATCCACCAACACAGTAAATCTTGCCCACTCAGTTGCAAATAATACCTTTTGTCATTTCTCTAGGTTGGATGAAAAATTCACTGTCAAGGTTGCTGATTTTGGTCTTGCTAGAGATGTCTATGATAAAGAATACTACAGTGTGCACAACAAAACGGGAGCTAAACTGCCAGTGAAATGGATGGCTTTAGAGAGTTTACAAACTCAGAAATTCACAACAAAGTCAGATGTGGTAATGTACAAACATATTTGTATCTTCTTTTATATTGCCTGAGGCATCTTTCTAGTATTTAATTAATGGAACAGCTCCATATGAAAACTGGTATTTGAATCTAGCTTTTGTTCAGATAAGAATAAAAGTCTTTCTACATCCAGAAAGTGTAATTGTCCCAGTCACTAAGCAAGAAGTTGTTGACCTTATATATATATCTTACTGCTCAGGAAAGAAGTAGGAGTTTAACCCTGTTCCAAGGGAAACTAAGGACATTCCAAGAAGCCAAGAACCCTGCTATAGGAGGGGCTCTGGAAAGCTTGACAGAACTGGTTAACTTAGAGATTTGTAAAAGTTAATAGTTCTCCAAAATACTTCATTTGTTTCATAAATACTTACTGGCTGCCTAC